GAGCTATGAAATGTGAAAGATAGCCGTCTCATTTCCCGTACTGTTTTGAGAAATGCGAATGGGAGATGTTTGCCTTTAAATACGAAGTGAATTGAATTCTTTCCCCCATTGTTGGTCCTGACATGCATTCGCCTTTTGAAGAGTCACAACATTCCTCACTGCTGGGCTATAATAACTCTTAAGTAACCCATTACTAAATTTACCAGTCACCTGGAGGTGGTGGTGAGGGAATGCTGTGCTGACACATTTGGAAGGTGCTATAAATAGCTTGGAAACAAAGAAGGAACCTACAAAGAAAAAGCTGAATCGGCCACATCATGGTGTTCAAAAAGATGATCATGTAATCAGAAACAGTAACATGGACAACTCACGCTCATTGCAAGGCTATAGATAAGTGAGTAAGCTACTTACGAAAACAGGATTTCTGTGTTATTTATTTATTACCTGCCCTTCACCCTAAGTTCCCAGGGCAGGCTGCAACATTAAAAGACAAGATTAAAAACAGTTTTAAAATGACTTACAACCATACTAGATAATGTGGGTCCGAAAAATATACACCTCAAGTGTCAAAAGCCAGAGCAAAGAAGTGTGCCTTCAGCATTCTCCAGAAGCTGTACAACGAAGCTGCCAGACACAACTCTGTGGGGAAGGAGTTCTACAGCTTAGGGGCCACCACAGAGAATGCCCTGTCAAATGATGCACACACGCACGCACGCACGCGCACACACACACTCAGAGCCTCTGAGGGCCCCTCTGCCAATCTAAGCACTCAAGGGTCTGTAGGAAAGGAGGTGGTCTTTCAGATATTTGTGTGAGAAAAACAGCACAAATTCATCTCGTCCAATTTGTCCAATTTACATTCATTTAAAGTGTGGGGAATGATTGCATGGATTAGATGTAGCAACGCTGCTACATCTTTTCTCAGAATTGTCTGCATTTAGGCACACAATTCCTTTCATGCAGTTTAGCAGGCAAAAACAAACAAACCCAGAAAGAGAAGGAAAGAAAATAGGAGGCAGATAAAGCTTTGTATGTAGAGGAATGTAAAATACTGGCAGGTGGAGGCGCAGGAAGCAGTGCCACAGCAGGGGAAGTATCTCAGTAGGGATGTCTGGTGTCGCAGGAGCACAACACTCCTTTGTCAGCCCGCTTAGTACTCCCCCTGGATCTCATTTCATGGAGCCCTTCCTAATTCATGCAGGTGGCAATGATTAAAAAATGGTGTGTGTGTGGGGGGGGGGAGAAATTGAGAGAATTAAAAAGAAGTGGCAGAAAGAGAGGCAGGAAAGACGGTGGCAGAAGATTACCTCCAAGGATACCAATCTCTTTTCATTGATAGGCACCTACCTGCACATGCGGTGGGAATGCCAAGAAGTTCAAGAATCTTGGAAGCTTTTTGCAGAAATTTCTGAAACAGTAGAACAAGAAACAAAAACTGCTCATATGCTGTACTTACTGAACTTATTTGAGGTCATTCAGTTCAAAACTGTACTGATTTTAACCACTGATTTCAAAACTGCATTGATCTTTGGGTTTCTTTGAATTCCTAGCAACGCTGGGTATAAGGCTGCTAGTTATTAACAGAGCATCACCGGTGTAAAAGTACTTTATGGAATAACATAAGAAAAATACAGCTTTATTCACCGATAAGTTTTGCAATTTACATTCTGATAGTGGGAAAGACTATCAAAATTAGAGGGAGGAGACTGAAGCCTTAAACAATGGAAGAGAATGTGCAAATGCAATGGCTTTTACTTAAGCACAGTTTCCCTCGAAGGATGAGGCACAGTAGGTTAAGACAAAGTCTTCCTGAAAGGCATAGGTTTGAGGAGGAATGTGAAGGAAGAAGTGACATTGCACAGGTGTTCTAGAAGGGAGTTCCAAACAACCAAAGGAGCAGCAAGAGTGACGGTAGCAGACAGTGGTCATTTGTCTATTTTATTTGAAATTCTTTCTAAACCATTTAATATACTGAGATATCATAGAGTTGGAAGGGACCCTGAGGATCATCTAGTCCAACCTCCTGCAATGCAGGAATATGCAGCTCTCTCATACCAGGATTGAACCTGCAACCTTGGTGTTTCAGCACCACACACTAACCAACTGAGCTATGAGGAAAGAGCTATAAGGTATGGTTACCAGATGTCCCCGTTTCCCGGATTTACAAATCCATCCCCAGACAAAATCCGTCCCCGGATTTCATTTAATGCCCCCGGATTTATATTTTAAGTGTTGTAGATTTATTAGTAGGGAATGAATGTTGCGTGATTGGTTCAACAGCACAAGACACATCATATGGGGACTTCTGGCGAGGCAAAATGGTGGGTGCCACAGCAGCGAGCAGCTCCTGAAGCTAGCCAGAGCCAGAGCCAACTGCACTACCAGGTTGGCTCTGGGCTGCTAAGACTGCCGCCTCCGAGGGGGAACCATGGATGCCCGGTGCATCAACTGAGGGAACCGCTGACCCTCCCATGACCCAAATTGAGCCGGGCACAAGAGCCCAGCGGCTCTCCAGGGCCAGTAAAAATCCTGGAACCAACGCAGGGAGAAGGAGGAAAGGAGAAAGAGAATGAAGAGAGAAAGAGGAAGGAGAAAAAAAGAGGGGACCCCGACCTTGCCGCCACCGCTGAGGAGGAGAGGTAGGAGAGCACTGGGAGGGCAAGGACACGTGGCCGAGCCGAGGCCTGACCTGAGCCTACTCCACGGCAGATAGCACTCCAAGAGATCAGGCCAGGGCCCAGAGGAAGGCTGCACGACAGAGGAGACCCAGAAGAGAAGATATTACTTCTTAATTTTTTAAAAAAATGATTTTTAAAAAATAACTTTTTTTTTCTCTTTTCAAAAAGAAAATGTGTCCCCGGATTCTTTGAAAAAATCTGGTAACCTTACTGTAAGGGGAGCAAAGTATGGAGGGTGTTGAAGAAAGGACCTTGTTTGTTTGTTAGGCTGCATGCAGTGCTATTATATAGAGAACCGGGGTATGGGTTTAAAGAGGGGTGCCACATGGTCTGAACTTTGAGGTGAATGATTTTGGCAGTAAGGTTCTGGATAAAGGACACAGGCTTAAGGTGTGGCAATGGAAAGCCCAATAGGACAAAGTTGCAGGAACCGATAAACGAGATCACCAGACCCAGAAGACTTCATTCTTTGATGTTTGTGCAGCTGAACAAACAAAACCCAAAGAGAAAAGCTGGGCACACCCAAGGGTTGAATGGATCCTGCTAGGAAAGTTGACTTGCTTTCACTTCAGAAAAGACGCCCAACCCATACAGTACCAGAAGCAGGCTGCATCTCAGAAACAAGACTTAGTGAATTCAGTGGGGCTTCTTCCCAGCTATGTGGTGTTAGGATCTTACCCTGACTTTGACATAATCATAGAGTTGGAAGAGACTCCTGTCATCTAGTCCAACCTCCAATGTAAAAATCTCAATGTGCGACACCTCCCATCCAATTTGAAACCGTACCAGACCCTGCTTAGCTTTGCAAATGTGCTAGCAGTTTTTTTTTAAAAAAACTGCCGCTAGATTCAATGTAGTTTGTCATAGCTGGAGTGATGGAGTTTGAGACAAGGGCAAGTTAGAACTCCTAGTGGGCACATGGAAGGAGTCATAGAGAAATAAGTGGGTGATGCTGTGGGTTAAACCACTGAGCCTTGGGCTTGCCCAAACATAAGGTTGGCGGTTCGAATCCTCGCGACAGGGTGAACTCTCGTTGCTCGGTCCCTGCTCCTGCCACCTAGCAGTTCGAAAGCACGTCAAAGTGCAAGTAGGTTAAAGGTTCGACTCTCTGCGGACAGGGTGAGGAAACGTTTCGTCAGTCCGCGCTGCTGGTTCTGCCAAAGCGGCTACATTCCTAAGAAGCTTACGCCCTCATGCCTGGCTTTAAGCTGAGGTACCACTGTACTCCCTCAGCCAATAAAGCGAGATGAGCGCCGCAACCCCAGAGTCGGTTACGACAGGACCTAATGGTCAGGGTCCCTTTATCTGGGGCATGGGGTCACAAAGAGTCGGACATGAGTATGCAACAACAGCAGCAAGAATACTCATCGTGAAATATTGGAAGACACAAGATTTACCCACCAGGGAAGAATGGCAGATGAAGTTGATGGACTACATGGAATTGGCGGAAATGACTGGCAGAATCCAAGACCAGGGAGAAGAGTCGGTGGAAGAAGATTGGAAAAAGTTTAAAGACTATTTACAGAAATACTGTGAAATTAATGAATGTTAGAAAAATGTTGGAATGAAGTTATATGGCTTTAGTAGAAATTTTATAAGCAATTAAGTATAAATAGATTATTACAGCATTAAAGGGGAAAATAAGGTTAGTGTGTGTTAAGACAATTATAGGATAGAAAATAGAGGAAGATGGAAAGGAATTGCAAGCCCCACTTCACATGTTACTTTCATCTTCATGGCTAGCCCAAACCACTGCGCCACACTGTTGCCCTCAGGTCCTGGTTACTGGCCTCCCAAAGGTCCCAAAGTCGGCCACTTTGAGAACAGGATGCTGAACTCGAACGAGCAAGCTTTTCTTATGAAGACAAAACAGAGAGGGATTTCATTTCCTTTCAGGTAATTTCCAGGCAATTATACTGATTGCATCTTACAGATTTACAACTTCCCTATTCTTTGCAAAGCACCTGCAATACCACTTTTTTTTTTTTTAAAAAAAAACTCTTTGGGGACGGGCGACAGTGACGCGTGTGAGGCGCCTGTTTACCACTTACATAGCGCGGGGAGTGGGGAAAGTAAATTCAGATACTGTAATCCTGAATGAACAAGACCGGAAACCGAATTTAGTTCGCCTCAGGAAGGGCGCGCGCGCCAGGTGCGCTGTTTCCCACCCAGCCTTCTCGCGCGCGCCTGGAAACGCAGCAGCTGGAGAAGCGGCCGCTCTCCCAAGCCGCGCCCTTTCTTAGCGGCGCTGGTAGGTAGGGGGCGGTGCCCGCCAGCCGCTCGCGCCCTTACCTGCGAGTCACGTGTTCGCCTTCCGGCAAGGGGCGGGGCTTCTTCTTGTCAGAGGTGTCTCTCTCTCTCTCTCTCTCTCTCCGCCTCCTTTTTTAATTTGGCTTCCCTTTCTCTCAGGTGTATCCCAATTAGACTCTTCTTCCCTCAGACCTCTTCACGTTTCACTCGACTTTTTCTCTCGCCTCCACTCCCCGCGCGGAGGAAGACACCTGGCGCGCGCCTCGCTTTCCTGTGTGTGTTTTGCGCGCTGCCGGGAGAAGGAAGCGAGGAAGAGAGAGAGCGAGCAAACTTGAGAAACTTGTTTGTCCACTCCTCGGGCTGGCTCTCCGCGAGCGAGCTCGTTTTAAAAGGGGAACGGTGTGGGGAGGGGGAAAGGAAGGAAGGAAGGAAGGAGAGGGAGCCGCTGGCCGAGAAAAGCATGAAAGCCAGCTGAGCAAAACATCCCCCGCCTGCTTGGGATTCTGCCTGGACACCGAGAAGAGGGTAAGCGAAAGGGGTGGCTATTGTTTGGGAGCGTGAGGGATGTTGGGAGGCGGAGGGAGGGGAAGGGGAAGGGGCTCCAGGTGTGTTGCAGCACAAAGGTAAGGGGACAACTTGGGGCAGAGTCCTGGGCTTTGTTCTTCTCACCTGCCCGTGGCATGACAGCGCCACAACTCCCCCTTCTTCCAGTCTTTCCCATATCTCTCTAGCAAGAAGTTGTATCAGATGCTGGGCGGAGGTCGGACTCTGACCTAAGCCTTCCACTTCATTTTCGTTTCCTCTGTTCCTTCTCTCCCCCGAAAAGACCGACCTTGTTTTTGAAGAGGGTCTTATTCTTTCCTTTTCACTTCCTGTTGTTTGTTTGTTTCACCCACCCACCCCTTTTCAATCTATGCAAGGTTGTGTATGTGGCATGTAATGTCTGGGTTGGTTTTTTATTTGCATCTCTCAGCTGTGTAATCGGGACGTGGACAGATAAATTCAGGAAAGCACACATGCTCTGGACCATATTGCAACCAACTTGCTTCCCTGCTCACAAATCTAACTGTTTCTCCAATTAGATCTGGAGACATAAACAATGTCTGCAGTTCACGCCTTCGGAGATTCCTCCCTTTTCATTTCCCGTTCACAACTTCTCAAATGGATTTTCCTTAATTCAGATCCAGATGATGTTTAGCGATGTCTGGCTGCCTGTTAAATTTGTTTGGTGGATTCTTAGTTAATGATATGAGATAAAAATCGGTGCTGGTGTTCGCTGATGGAGGGAATTGTTGGGGGGACGGTCTTCTGATAGCTGTGAATCTCTGTTTGTGAATGAGGTACCCATCAGAGTTAGAAGACAGTGAGTGACACATGCACATATCCAGTTATAGGTAGAGGCAGAGAAAGCAGGAACTCTAGCTTGAAGACACAAAGGCAGAGGGAGGGAGAGTTGTGAGTTAGTTGCAGAAGAAGGATCTGGGGCTCAGAGTTTTTTTCCCTGGGAATGTGACACAGGGTGGCACTAATCTACTGCCTTCGGCCTATTTAATTAATTATTATTACAGTGGTACTTTGGGTTACAGATGCTTCAGGTTACAGACGCTTCAGGTGACAGACCCTGCTAACCCAGAAATAGTACCTCAGGTTAAGAACTTTGCTTCAGGATGAGAACAGAAATCGCATGGCAGCGGCGCAGTGGGAGGCCCTATTAGCTAAAGTGGTACCTCAGGTTAAGAACAGTTTCAGGTTAAGAACGGACCTCCAGAACGAATTAAATTCTTAAACCGAGGTACCACTGTATTAAAATATCTGTCCATATCTGTCCTGTCATTTCTTATTAAATACTGTGCTCTATTTATTTATTTCATAAAGTTTATATACAGCTTGATTGTAAGAACCTCAAAGCTCACAGTTTTGATGTTTCTCTCCACACACCCCCAACCACCCCCTGCTTTGATCCAAATTGAGAAGAAGAACCACCTAGCTATGTTTTAAGTTGGTGAGGTGTACACAGCCCCGGATACGCTGTTTAGTTTCTTGATTTACCTATGTATTCAGCAGGTAAATTAAGATACCAAACAGTGGGGGTTGTGTACATCTCACTGACTTAAAACATAGCCAGGTTGTTGTTGTTCTCAATTTGGATCAAAGCAGATTTTTTGCTTATGTGCCATGGACAAATGAGAAAGGACTTACTATTCAGTTTCTAATACAGTGGTACCTCGGGTTGAGTACTTAATTCTCTCCGGAGGTCCGTTCTTAACCTGAAGCACCACTTTAGCTAATGGGGCCTCCTGCTGCCACTGCGCTGCCGGAGCACGATTTCTCTTCTCATCCTGAAGCAAAATTCTTAACCTGAAACACTATTTCTGGGTTAGCGGAGTCTGTAACCTGAAGCGTATGTAACCCGAGGTACCACAGTAGTAGAACCCACCATTTTCTACCTCTATCCTTTTGGGTATGCACAATACCGAAAGCAGTCGTTTTCCAGCCTGGTGTGCTCTTGATGTTTGGCACACCAGCTTTAATCAGGCCCAGCCAGCCAAGGATGGGGAACCTGTGGCCCTCCAGATGTTGATGGACTGGAGCTCCCATCATCGCCAACCATTGGCCACACTGGCTGGGGGCTGAAGGAAGTTGGAGTCCAAGAGCTGGGCAGCCGCAGGCTATACACCTGCCTTAGACAGTCACCTGCAGCCTCAATGCCTTAAAGATTAGGCAGGTGGCCCCTAGGAAAAGAGTATTTCTGTGGTACGAGCTTGTCTTTGTCTTTATGTGCTGGGTAAAATAAAGAGGATGGAATGGGCATGGGCGTTTGGAGGGAAAAGGCTTTGGGTATCCCACCAGCCTTTGAACCCAATGTTTTGACTATACAGTGGTACCTCAGGTTAAGAACTTAATTCGTTCCGAAGGTCCATTCTTAACCTGAAACTGTTCTTAACCTGAGGTACCACTTTAGCTAAGGGGGCCTCCCGCTGCCACTGCACCACCGGAGCACGATTTCTGTTCTCATCCTGAAGCAAAGTTCTTAACCCGGAGGTACTATTTCTGGGTTAGGGGAGTCTGTAACCTGAAGCATATGTAACCTGAAGTGTCTGTAACCCAAGGTACCACTGTACACAATTTGGATTTTACGTACAGTCCCTAGAACGTAACCTCCATGTAAGCTGAGAGTCACCTGTACGGAAATCAGTTGATTTAAGAGCTCCTATATCTGCAATCGACCCCAAAAGCAGCTTCTAATAACTAGCCAAATCTCTCTAGGGAGGGATTTCACTATTTGGGATGCTGCAACTAAAAAACAGAAAATATTGTTAGTTCAATGTACGTACTACTACTGGCATGGATCTTCCTTGAATGTGGTGTTGAGGTGCATGGTGCAGATAGTATCATTGAATTGTAGAGCTTGAAAGAACCCTGAGGATCATCTAACTCAACCGCTTGCGATGCAAGAATCGGCTAATAACTTGTTCCTTAGAATGTTTACTTGGAAATAAGTCTCCCTGTGCTTAATGTCATCTATTTCCAAGAAAGTGTGAGTAGGCTGCTTGCCTTGGGCATTAGCTATGCTTGTTATGTGCTTTAACCTTTATTCTGTGATTGAAATACGTGTTCCAGGTGTGTTAGATAAAAATGACCCCTTCCTGGTTGGATATTGCTTGGGCCAGAACAACACCGAATATCTATAAGTGATTCACTAGAGCAGGAATTCAAGCAGGTCACAACCAGACTGCAGAGTGTGGTTAGTCTGGAGATTCCACCCTTTACTCCAGAATTCAGAGCATCCTTCTTCAAATATGTGCACTGTTTGCCCAGAGCTTTAGATCTTTCCATGGTAGACATGGCATGTAAACACAAAGTACTGTTCCGAAGCGAAAGTGGGTTATTTTCCATCAAACAACATCAGTGAAGTTTGAAGGGGCAGAGCAAAAATTTACTTCCTCTTGTCTATGTGGCTACAGGCTACTTGCTTGTCTCTGGGGTATTTGCTTGTAAAATGACTCCATGTGGCAGCTTCTTTCAGATTCCTTTAGAATAATTTGGGCTGGCATAGTTCGTATTACACCTGAAACAGAGAGGATAAGGAATAATAGTTTGTGGCTGTTCAGGGATTTTGTTTTGTTTTGTTAACTTGCTTGTTTAAACCATTTGAAGCACCTCTCCATACCCAATTAATGTTACTGTTTTTTGAGTTTGTATGCGGGGTAGGAAAATAGACCAGCTGTTAGCTCTATCGTAAGCCACTTTGTCTTAGTAAGCCAAGGTATGCACGAGCCTTTTGCTTCCATTGGCACGAGCTGTGATTAAACTAGGAAGCCTCTAATTAGCCATAGTTTCACACTCCTGTGGTAAACTATAGTCACCAGCTACAGAAGGAGCCAGGATCTTTCATCAACTTTAAACCATGGTTTAAGAGCCCAGCTTGTTTTGAAGCTGGTGACCATAGTTTCCCAGTTTGGAGCAACACTAAACTGTGGTTAATGAAACTTTCCTGTTCAGCTTCAGGTTATAGTGAACAGGCTACATGTGTGGGAAAAGACTCGTGCATATATATCTTCCCGACAACTGGATACAGAAGCTAATGGAATATGCAGAAATGACAAAACTTACTAGGGGGAGAAGAAATCAAGATAACAATTTTTTAAGAAAGGAATGGAAGTGGTTTATTGAGTATTTACAAACTGTAAACAGATCAAGACATTGGCAGGATTGTTGTAAAAAAACCTGCAGTTTTAAATATATATATATATAAGATATATGTAGAATACTGTACACGATTAAAAAAATAAGGCAATTTGGAGTATGCAGGAAAGGACGAAAATAAATGTAAGGAACTGCAGAAAGAGGGGGAAGGGAGTAAAAATTGAAAATGTTAAAAATATTGTTAAATAAAAGACTTGTGCATATATTGACTTAATAAGCTGAGGCACAATGACTGGAAGACAGCCCACATCAGCTCTGAACACATTATAAGTCCTGCATTAGGATTTAAAAAGAAACATGTTTTTACTATTGTCAGGGATACTCAGTTCCCCCGGCCTCACTTGTGAGTAAACAAAAGTAGAGGTATCAGCACCTCTTAAATTTTCTGGTGCCATGAGTTCACTCAGAATGCTTTCAGAACTACCTGGTAGCTTCAGTGTAAGATTGACACCAATGCTAAAGACAGGATAAACTTTACACTAAGATGGTTGGTTTATTAAAGGAATATTAGGTACACAAGGTAATATTTATATTAGGATCATAAAGGTGCTTGTTGACTGATTCTGAAGACTCGGGAGACACTGTTGCAGACACCTGCCTCCAAGTGGCTTTTACCTCAGGTCCTTAAACCTCTGCCCTGACCAAATACTCCCACAGCCCTGTCCAGCTACTGGGGACAATCTGCCTCTGTACCCCAAAACTCCTCTAGCTGTATTCCTGACTGTTTGGACAGTTTAGGAAGATTTTTAAAACCCGCTGGTGTCACTTTCCTCTGGTACACAGGGCAGCTGTTCGGACCAACTCAGTCAATGGCTCCC